GTATTAAGTTGCTTCGGAGACGGTGAGTGCTTATCGGATTGATAGGAAGAAATTTCCATATTTCTTCTAAAAAAAGGGTAACTCACGGTCGTCATCGTATTCAGAGGCCTCGTTATGTTCAATATCTTCGCCAATCTGCTTGGCTTCCAATGGAGATGCAGTTGCTTCAACTGGTGGTGGATGATCAACCTAAGCAATTAATTGAAATATTCCGCTTGAAGGGAGTAGATGGACCGTCAAACTTCCTTTGCGGAGACTCACCTCTTCCACCTCTTCCAATATGTCTTGTCCAAGTCCGGGGCCCTTCTTGGCCCTCAACATGATGTATTTGACTTTTAGGGATGGTTGGTCGCATTGGATCTAATAAGAAACTTGTAACGCAGCGATTGAACTCACTGTGACTCTTGTTGATTTTATGGCCAGGGGTGGGCAGGAATTGGACAAGCGATCGCATTGGTCTCGGTGACTCGAGTCCATGGACCAGTACGATCGCCTGTTAGACCCTGCTCCCCGCCACGTTGTATGGTGGGTGCATGATATCGTTTTCATTTTACCTCAGATCGTTGTTTCTTTAGAGTTGAGGCAACGTTGGAGGCTTGAGGTGCTTCTTCAACAACACCTTCTGGTGTATAACCTAAGAATAGAATTTGAAATTGAGGGATGGGCGAGTTTTCCCGTGATAAGTAGCACAACGATCTCACCAGGAGAAACGACTTCTTGTCGAGATGGCCCTGGAAGAACGTCTGGAATTCCTGTATTAGAGCTGAAACCACCACCCGCTGAGTACGGAGGTGCACCGGCGCCGGCTGAGTATGGAGCTGCACCGCCACCGGCTGGGTATGGAGCTGCACCGCCACCGGCTGGGTATGGAGCTGCACCACCACCGGCTGGGTATGGAGCTGCACCACCACCGGCTGGGTAAGCTCCTCCTCCTCCACCGGAAGGATATCCATATCCAGCTCCTCCACCTGCTGGGTATGCACCACCACCTGAAAATCAATTATTTGTCGCTTACTTTAATCTAGCTAAACTTTAGGTTTCTGTTGTTGACACGAAGGTAGGTAAAAATATGAAGGTAACGTCGACTGGAACTACCGAGCCGCTCACCTCCTCCGTAGTATGTTGGCGCTGCGTAGCTGCCACCGTATCCGCCGCCAGATTGTGCATAGCCACCACCTCCTCCAGAAGGATGTCGCGTATCCTCCTCCACCTCCTCCTAAAAAAGGTTGAGTCTCATTCTATGCTTGCAAGAAAACTAATAAGGGCGATTTTTGCGGCAAAAATAGTATACTTGGACTTTGTGTATGTTCTATCTAACATGTGTGGGCCTAATGTGGGGAAAACCCGACTCTGCCACTGATTTCTATTTTACGATAGTAATTGAGTTTTCAGTAGAAGGGCATGTCGGATTGTAGAAGTCCAAATTGTCAGGAGTGCTTCAAGGGCGAAAGGCGCTTATGGAGTTAGGGGGACATTCAAGTGAAGTGAGCTAGCTACTCACAGTACGTGGGTCTAAGCTATAGGGAGGGGAGGTGATTCTGAGGAGTATGTGAGCAATGCTCTGTAATTTTTCACCCCTCTTCTGGACATCTACTCTACGTTCTAGTGTCGCCTACCATGGGCCCTATTGGAAAGTCACCTCCCCCCAATGGCCATGAGCGCATACTGCGCTCGAGCCGGGACCAAACCCGGGCTTTAAGCTTACTGGCAAGGGTGCCTCCATGGCATCACGTGGATCATGCCTCATGTCTCATTT